CATGTTCATCTTGGAGTCAATGATGACTCCAAGATCATTTTCCGCCTCCGTGCTGACAAGAGGGGAGTTCCCCAACCTGTAGCTATGGTGCCAGTTGTTCCTCCCCAGGTGCATCACCTTGCACTTGTCTGTGTTGAAACCCATCCTATTCTCATCCGCCCACCCTTGTAACCTGTCTAAGTCAGATTGTAGCCTGTTGCTTCCTTCTAGTGTGCCCACGTCCCCCCACATCTTAGTGTCATCAGCAAATCTGAACAGGGTGCTTTTTACCCCCTTGTCCAAATCACTGATGAAGATGTTGAACAGCGCAGGCCCAAGGACCGAGCCCTGCGGAACCCCACTGCCCACGTCCTTCCAGGTTGAGAAGGACCCATCCACTACCACCCTCTGGATGCGGCCCTCCAGCCAGTTGGCGACCCATTTGACTGTGTGGGTGTCTACGCCACAGCCCCCCAGTTTCTTAATAAGAACGGGGTGAGAGACAGTGTCAAAAGCCTTCCGGACAGCTTTTAGCTGTACCTTAGCTAAAGCTCACTTTCTACATTTATAACTATTGGAACCCAAACCATAAACATGCTAAATGCACACAATAAAATGTAAACCATAGCACTGTGCTAGCCATTGTCAGGTGATAAACCAACCACACACACTGAGCCAAAACCCCATGAAACTGCCTCCACTTCTCTTGCTCTGAAATATTAATCAAAACATACCTTTTCTTGTATCGGTAATGTGGCTCTTCTCTTTCTGTGTTTGTTGCTGATTTTACAGTGTGTAAAATGAGGTTTGCAGTAAAATTTACCTATAAAAAAAAAAAAGGTGTGATACTTAGTTTGGAGATCAAAGGGATGCAAATGAATATACTTGTAAATTGAATGAAACTGCAATCTACTGGTTAGGGGAACTGTGACTTCCTTTCCTCTATTCCTAGTTTTGCCATTGATAGATCGCACAAGTCAGGCTACCAACAGATATTGCAGAAGAGACCATTTTATTCCAGGACAAAGTGTGATCATTCAAACATCCATGTACGCTGTGCCAAGACAAATCCTTAATGGTTCACAGGATAAGAAATGCTAATAGGCCATCACAAAGTGCATCTGAACGGTTGTTCTGAGATTGCATCATGGAATCAATGGCAGAAAAGCAGCAATACATTCAGCTGTTCACTATACCCTGATTGAATGGATGGTGTGTGTACCCAGGACCTTTTTATTCCAGAACAAGACAAGTACAACTGGTCCCAGGACAAATGCAACAGCTGTTTCTGTTCTTAGGGAACCCCACTGTAACGTGGGGTGATGGTACCTAGCTACTTCAAAAGGCTGAATCTGTGTTAAGGTTAATAAAGTACTCTGAGCTGCTAGAAATAGATTCACAAACCATTTAAAAATTCCAGCCAGGAAAAATCAATGAACCAATTAGTTGAAGAAATTGCTTTTGCAGCTGTATGTTTAGCTACTTTGTAGGGGACATAGGTAGAGATGGATCAGGCCAACAAAATTCAGTTCTTGTTTGGAGCACTGGAGGAAGGAAAGGAGATGTTCACATGTTTTAACATATCCTTTCCTAAATGAACAGATCAGCCACGGTGTTCAGGTCTTGAGTCCATTACCATTAAAGCTTAGAGAAACTTAAAGTGAATGGTACCACAGGCCAGCTAACACAACTGATTTCAATTTCTAATGCATAGCCTTGAAAAAAAGGACGAACCCATTCTTCCCGTATTGAACAAATCTGTCACTATCCTGACTCATTCCCACACAGAGTACTGAATAACAAAGACATTATTATATCTGGGTGATGATCAAGTCGGCCAGATTATTAACAATTACAGGAAATCACTCTCTTCTTTTGGTCTTTATTTCAACCTGTGACCAGAGCAAGGAAATACATTTGGTCTCCCACAAACATTCCTTCCTTTAAGCAAAAGTGTAGTCATATCAGGCTTCCCTGAAGAACTTAGGACTGCAACCACAGTGGGACTGCAGATCATGAAAGGTCAGCGCAGGCAGAACTGTAAAAGAAACTCTGCACATCTCCTGACTGAACCACCTGGACCACTCTTTTTTTCCTGCTATATTATAAACATTTAGCATTCAAACATTTAAAAAATACTGCTGTATATTCTCTTATTACCTTCTTCGACATCAAAGGCATAAATCCCTAACCGGAGTGTTGTAGAACACACATCACACTTAAAGCATTCCCTGTGAAAGAAGTGACCCTCTGCACTCAACCGCTCCATGACGTAGACCCGTTTCTTGCAGAAATAGCAGATGTCGCTCCCTCCTACAGTTTGAGGAAATTCTTTTCTCAAAGATACCTGTTAAGGATACAGTGAAAATGTATGTAAAATACATTGCTTATCAACATGCTACAGTATATGCACATGCTAATTTAGCAAGTTGCAGGTTTTATACAGTTACAGACACCCCTGCCCCATCAAAATTAAAATGTATAGCTGAAAAATTAAAATTAAAAAACCTCCACATAAAATTAGATATACACACGCAGGTAATATCCAACAAAATGACTTGTTTGTTACCCTGGAGTTTGCTGGCTGAAACCCCGATATCTGCATGAGTGCAGGTTTATGATTTTATAAGAAGGCATATACAGATGTTTGACCCAGCAAAGAACACACATATGCAGTCAAAGCCCAACCTGATGAAATGATTAGTCAAGTCAACATATGACAGTCTTCCGAGGAAGCCCCAGGCCGTGCTTTGAGTCAAATCCAAGGGGGTGGCCTGGTGCTGTTAACAAAAGCCAGAATTTGAAATTCTCTGCTGGTATTTGAAACATCACTCAGCCTGAACAATTTGGAAGCCCCTTCCCTCTAATTTTTTGTCCTTGGATTTCTAGTGCAAGTATATTCAGAATATTTTACAGAACTGTGATTTTGCAATATGATTCATGTTAGCAACTTTAAAGTATTTTTCTTCTGTTAGACCTAATAAGAGACATTCTTTGAATCCCACAAGGTTTATCATCAACGGGTGCAGTGTCTGTTAGGCCCAGTCATCCTTGAGCTTTCCACAAAAGGCATGTATGTAAAGACTGAAAAGAAGCATTATTTGCACATCCTTGTTTTACCCATGCAGAGCAACCTCTCCATTATTTTTGCCATAAGACAAAGTAATCTGTATGAAATGGAGGAGGTAGGATATTCGGGAAAGTCAGGGTAGATACAAGTAGCACTAAGCCACTGACTTAAGAGATCACCAATGGAACATGCTTTGCAGGGTAATTTCTCAATATTTACAGAGTGTTTCTAGCCATACATCTTGTGTATGTTCTTATAAATGCAAACACCAGTCAAAATTTGCTTCTATGTGCCCTATTTTGCCGAGGCACAGGTTACTTCTGTGAGTATACACCATACAGGAGGTTTAAAAAGTTAACAAGCACAGGATTAAAATTAAAAAGGCACAGCACAGATTGAAAATACTAGGTTAATGAAGTACTACCAGTGATGAGTTATGGCCAAGCTTGATTGCTTACAAATTAGTGCTTGCTAATAGCTTAGTGCCTTTACAAAGCCACACTTCACTTTGTCTTTTAATACCTGACAACTCTGAATAGTAGAAGCACAAGTTGGAGAAACAGAACAAGAAGTGGGGAAGGACGATATATCTCCATCCAATGACTGGTTCTGAATTCAAATCCAATATTATCATAAGTTAGAACAGCTTTCTTCAAAGAGACATATGATGATTCAACATGTGTGGTCAGTGCAACTGCACAAACACGTACTTTATAAAACTTTCTTTAGAAGCCACCCCCATCTTACTAATTGCAACAGTAATTACATTTAAGAGATGCTTCTTGAGATGCACGTTTCACAGACAAGTAACAAAATATAAATTGAAATTAGGACACCAGACATTTACAGCATACCTCCATGTAGGCACATCTTCTGCCAAAAGTACATAATTCCTACAGACGATTTTAAAATAAGAAATTTCAGGTTGCTTAAGAACCAGAAACGTCTCAATTCTAGAATCTTAAATTGGGACAATACCCCTGTATTGTTCTACTTGAAACTGCCTGATTTCATTCTTTATAGGTTTAGCCTTACCAGCTCTTGAGAGGAAAACTGTGGCTTGGGCCTGTGATCATTCATATACAGATTGACAAGGACTTCAGCCACAGCACCAATTCCACGTGACACCTTCCCTACAGTCATCTAACCAGCAAAAGGAGAAGATTGAGAACGGAATCAAAAGAGTTTCAATTATAGTTTTATGAGAAAAACGCATCGCCAGTTTGAAAGCATGCAAAGAAATGCAAGCAGTGATAAAAACAGGCTAGAAATTATAAGGAAACTGAGTTTAGCATAGTGTGGGTATGTTCATGCATCATCTAAATAAAAGAAAAAAGGATTTGTTCTTTCTTATTGTACTTTTTAGGAATCTGGGGCTCACTTTTATAAAATGTAGATATTCTTAAGGAACAATAAAAAGCAGAAACTACAACTTCATATCGAAAAGCCCCAAATCGCAAAGTTTTATAAACTATTCCAAAAATGTTCATGAGAACACCTATAAGAAAATATTCAGCTGAGGTTGACACAACATTCATTCTTTTCTTATTTATTCTTATTCTGTTACCTTATGATTTTGATATTTAAAAAAAAAAAAAAAAAAATCAGAGAAAGTGTGGAGCCAATTCATCATATGTATATGTGTAGGTTTACACATTCACACACACACGCATATAAATATAAATTAAAATTGACATCAAGGCAGACCACATGGGAAAGCCAATAATCAGAACATCTGCATACGAACAAGACAAATTTCTGGTTTAAGAGAGTATAGCAGAAACTAAAATGAGGCAAAATAAGCCAAGAATTTATAATAATGGAATATACACTCTTACTGCATTTACTCTACTATAAGACAACCCTGAATTCAAGATGACCCCCAATAATTAGATTCTATATCTGAAAAATTTATAAATTTGTTATACAGGTTTCCAGATATAGAATCCAAGTATTGGAGGTTTCCCTTGAATCTATCCCACTCCCATTGCTACATCAGGGAAAATAAGTCTTGGGGGTCAGGTAGCCCTCCCCCCCACTTCTTCCCCCTGTAGCTCTCCCCCTCTCCCTACTGTCAGACCCTGCTCTCCCTGAGCAGATGGAAGTGAGGGGCAAATTTGAACCTTGAAACCTTGAAATAAATGTTGCAAATTTCTACAGGTATTCATAGATTTGGTTCATCCAGAATTAATGCATTTTGTCTTTTTTGAAACTGCTGCAAGTTGTAGCACAGTTACTCCATAAACACACTTTTAAGCAGCACTTTTGTACCTATTTATATATAGTATAAAGTATGAATAATATTAGTCCCAAGCCAAAAGTCTCATGATTTACCCTATCATTCACTGGGCTGGGCCTTAGCAGAGTCAACAGCATTTCAAGCTATGGTTACCCCACAGCTCAGCACTGCTCAGTATGTGTGTGTATTCCAAATACCTCCACACAAAGGATCTGTATATTAATTAGAAACCCACTCATGACTGGAACTGGGTGTTTTTGTCATGAGTCCTGAGATCCTCCAAATATTTATATGTAGATGAGGCATAGGGCAACTTGGTCTGGCTCCACCTCATGGAGGGTGGGGCCACACTAATCATATGCAAGGGACTGAGAGAGGGGTCAACACAGGGATTTTGGGTGAACTGTCTGGGGCCCCTTTTGGTGATGTTTGCCAGACAGTTAAGGTTAGTGAAGAAACAGGAATAATTGGAAATTGGAAAGAAAAGCATAACTCAGCTGTGGGAGTGAAAAAGAAGTATACAGAATATATACAATGTAGTGGCTCACCATAACTTGAATCAACAGTAGGTGCTGAGAGGGACTGCGCACAATGGACACCACAATACATCTTATTCAGATGGCCTGCACTAACCTATTCTTGTAGTAGGTTCTCATCGGCATGTTTGCCCAATATAGGACATAGGCAGACAAGGTTCTTTGGGTGAATCTCATATATTTTATTAGACCGACTTAAATAGTTGGAAAACAACTTTTAAGCAAGCAATCCTTAAAAATTGTTTGCCAACTATTTAAGTTGGTCTAATAAAAGATATCAGATTCTCCCAAGAACCTTGTCTGCCTATGTCCTTACACCAACACAGCTACAACCTACACCCCTGCAATATAGGATATGTGTTTTATAGTCACACTCAGTGTTGGCTGTATTTAATCAACTTCATAGTTGCTTTCCATTACTGAGCACATGATGCTTTTGGCAGCAGTTCAGTGACAGGCAACATATTTAATGAGGTTTCCTTGAGTAAGATGAGGGACTTCCTTCCTAGTGCTGATTTGGGGGAATAACCTTGTCTTGTATTCAAGTAAAAATGGCAAATCTTAACACATTTTGGAGTCATAACAGATCTTAGGAATACTGCATTGATTATAATAGAATGCACACAGTTGACACTATCATACAGTGGAACACATTTCCATTAACCCTCCTAGAGCTACCATTTGAACGTCAGTATTAAGGTTATTTTAAGTACATTTGTAAAACAAGGAGGAATGCAAAAATAATTTTTTCTATGCAATTGTGGTTCCAAATTTGCAGACAGACTCTGTTACCCACAATGGAACAGTAAACTGAAGGCAGAAGGATACAATAAAGTACTAGCCCTGCCTTAAGTTCATTATAATCCTAGAATGTCTCATGCCCGCTGAAAATAACATTCACTTCACCCAAACCACAGCAGATGTTGACTGATGCTACGGAAGTGACTACTGCACAGGCAGGAAGCTGGTCATTTCTGATAACATTTGTCAACTTCTGGAGCTTTGTTTCCTTTTGGTTCATTACCCTAAGAAATCTTTGACCTGTGAATTACGAGTTCCACATATGCTTGCATATGTGCAGTGTTGTGCACTTAAGTTGTTTTAAAATTAAACTATCATATGTATTGGAATTCAAGATGAGGTTTTTTTCCTCCCACTTAACACATGGTAAAAACTCCTCATCTGGGATTTTAGTATGAGGCAGTGGGGGTGGAGGGGGGAACTAGGCAGCTGCTGCAGCTCTGGCTCCACCCCCAACCTGGAGTCAGAGCTGGAGCCACAGCTGCTGCCTGTCCACTGCCTCTGCCCCCTCCCCCATCCCCCTGTAGCCTCAGGTCTCTTGCCCTCTCATAAGCCTCTTCCCCCCTATCTGCCCCCCTCTCCCCAACCCTTGCCTCTCCCCACCCTCATTTCCTCCCTCTGCAGCCTCTGTTGCCTCCTGCCACTTACCTTGCTGCAGCCTTTGCTCTGGCAGGCTCAGTGTCTGCTCCAGCCTGAGGCACAGAGCATGCATTTGCATGGTCCCACAGTAGCAGTGATGACAGCTCAGACAAAGGTCTTGAGCTAGAGCTGGAGATACCATGCTGCTGCTCTATTACAAGGCTGGGTTGAGGCTGGAGCACGTATGCTCCATGCCCCAGGCTGCAGCATGGATGAAGCCTGCTGAAGCTGAAACAAGAATAATCAGCTAGTGGGGAGCTATGGGTGACTGAGGCTGCACAAGGACAGGCAGAGGCAGGACAGAAGTGGTAGAGGTAGGCATGGGTGGGGGGTGGTAAACTGTGGAGACAGACAGTTGGCAGGGGGCAAGGTGTGAGGGGATCAAAAGGTAGGGGTCAAAACCCACTCCCTGCCCCCTCTACCTTCCCTACTACTAACCCCTCACTACCTACCCCTTACTGCCTCCCACCTAACTTCTGTCCTCACCACTGCAGTAGAAGCGACAAATTTAAGGCAACTCTCCAATAATTAGATTCTATACATGGAAAATTATAACAAATTTATAATTTTTCCATGTATAGAATCTAAAATTCAGAGTTGTCCTGGATTTGGGTAAATATAGTCTTCACTAATGCACAAAAGTACCTTATTTTCCCACATAAAACACCTCCCATATAAAGATATGCACTTCATTTTTGGAAGGCAGAATAAAGGGGAAAAAAAAGGATTCTTGCTTCTACAGCAAGAGCTTCTGCCAGGAGGGGAGGGAGGAGGAAGAGAAAGTGCCCACAGCAAACAGGAAGCTTTATGTGCAGCACTGCAACATTACCTTCCCCCACACCCTCCACTTTTTTCAGAAGTAGAAACTCCTATTACTGTATTTCCTTGCTTATATGTACACCTTAATTCCCAGCAGCTAAATTTTGAGAAAAAGATGCCTTGTATTTAAAAAAAAAAAGTAATTAAATCACAACAGATATCTTATGGAAAATCTCAGTAGTTTATAAGATGAGAAAAAACAGTGAAGGAATTGGTCATAAAGACACAGGACTAAAATATGAGGCTTCATTTGTTGCAAGGTACTGTAATAACTTCATCCAATAAAGCATTTAAATGGGCTCATTCAAAGTTTGCCATTGATGGAGGTACTCACATGTTTTAAGTTAATGACAATAGCTAAGGATTTGTCATAAAGGATGGGAAAACCTACAGTCTAGTCATGGAAAAAAAAGGCCAAGTCAGAGATTTGGAAGCCAAATGTTGCACATCTTAATTAAAATCTCCTTCATTTTATAATGAAATCAATTAAAAAGCATGAAAGTAATAATTGCTAAGTATTTATCCCACTACCTACAGGTTCAGCCTCCTGGCAGCAAGGAAAGACTTGGCCTCTTACTGCTTTCTTGTTTCATCTTCTGCAGAATAATCAGACTAGGCACAATGGTACACAGAGCTTTTTAATGTTCTATTTAAACCTATTTTTTCCATTTCAGCTAAAAAGTCTTGGAATTTATGACCTCAGAAAAAAGTACTAGCCCAGGCATGAGAGTTACTCCTCTCTAATAAAGCTGCATAGGGGGTTGAAAAAGGAGCTTAAAAACAAACAAAACCCTTTTTTAATTAAAAAGTATGGTATGAAAACCTGTAAAATATCTAGCAATTTACAGCCACAAAGGTCTTTTGGATGACTGATAATCCACTTCTACCTACTAAACCCAAAAAGTAAACAACACGTGGTCTACCAACCAAGCCCTTTACATCAGGCTTGTGTTGTCACATTGTGATTTCTTGAATAATGAGGTAAATAATGTATTGAGAAATCAGCTGGAGCAGGAAGTTGCAGATGATCATATTATATGCTCAAATGATAATCTGAACAAGAAAGCTATGCATAACTATTGAACTATTTGAAGGGTAGGCAAAGTACTACTGAAGCTAACCTACTAACCTTGCAATCTAATAGACTGTTTTAATGTCAGCAGGAATTGTTTAAATGGGTGGAGAAGAGAAGCCGATCAAGATGAGACCTAGTAAAACTGCATACCTACACCTATTATTAAATCTAAAATTCTGAAAAGCATAATTGAACACAAATTCAAAGTAAAACAAAAAGTGACTGCAACTAAGGACAATAGTGCACATCACCATTCTCAACTAACTGGTTAATATTATCAGCTAAGGGCTGTTCACTAGTCTACATGAAATAAATGGGATAGTCTTTGTAATTCCAGTGACTAGTGCCCACATTACAGTAATTACTAGTGCAACTGGCACTAAACAGCAGCCTTCTCACAGGGCTCGGAAGAGAAGGCAAGAACTCTTCCTATGCTGAGCAAAGTTTAGTCACAGGAGAGTACCTAGCCACACACTCATCTACTAAAAGAATCATCTTTAAAAATCTACCAAATCTGCCAATTTTCACCCACCTTAAAATAGTAAAATAGCTCTGTTGCATTTGCTTGCCTGCTGTTCATTTACTCGACACCTATGCCCCAGTTCTTTAGAGCACTTAAACACAGCTTCATTCATACAACTAGCAATGTACATGAAGTCCCACATATGCTTAAGCTGTTGCCTTTTTCTGACCATACTCCATGTGATATGTTTCTGTCTATAACCTGGACCTATCCACAGTAGTGATGCTGGGTGTTTAAGTGTCCTGTTACTAAGTAATTTCATACATTGCCAGAAGGCAAAATACCAAGTGATGTTGAGCAAATATTTTTAAAAGGCTGTTGAAATGCTGCAAGACATTTTTGTAAACGATTATGAAGATTTCAGAACACAAATTGTAAATAGCACATTGCCAAAGCTTTGCAGCAGGTTTATCTGACCTGATAATAACTGCTTCCAAGCCTAATTCATTAGCTAATTATTCCGGTGGGACAAGAGTGAATTTTTTCATTCTGTATATTATTAAGGTTGCCACAGCTATTAAAACAATGAGACACGAAAGTACTTTTCAAACACAAAGAAAAACATGGTCTTTGCCTGAAAGAACACAATCTTTATCTTTTGTCTCCTCTTCTTGCCACTCTGCTTGTTTTTCTTTTATGACAGCACTTGCCAATTTAAGCTTTTTGCCCAACATCCACAACTTAAGCAAACTATGAGTAGTAAATTACTCTGTCTCGGAAACACCCAACCCTTGTTTTCAGTGGGTAATTAGAATCATGTCACTGAAGTTACATAGTTGATCTGATGTACTACAGACAGCTACGCCAAATGATTGCAACACATTTATAATCCTTGTGACTTACTGTCTTTAGCTTCACTGACGTAAAGCTTATGACGGGCTCGTCAAAGGACGTTTTAAATTTCTTGTCACTTCTAACCTTCTTGACTTCTAGAGATTATTCTTCGTTCTCCACAAAGATTCAGGTCAGCAGTAATCAAAAGTCACCTGTACTAAACTGTGGGCAGGTCTACACAAGATGTTTACTGTGCAGTAGACTACTTAGCTGTTCAGTAAACGTTACATGTCTACACATGCACCCATATTAGGCTGGAGTAAACTAATTTATTCCACAGCAGCACACGTGTAGACACTGCCCTAAGTGCTTTAGTGGGGCTGACAGAGGCAACATTGACACAGGCAACTGATGTAGAATTGCAGCTGGTAATTCCAAGGACATTGTTAAGATAACATTCACTGTACTTGAAGATAGGCACTATGTGCTCAAGACATTATTAAATTTGGGTTATGTGTTGCTATAAATAGTTAATGGTTTGCAGGTGGAATATAATACATTCCCACCCTAGGAAATTTTGCTGTGCAAAGGAGACAAAACATGGAATGATAATTAACTGAGGAAGGGCAGGGAAAGATTATTGTTTTAGAAACCAAGAACCAAGAAACCAGAACTTTTTTCTTGAGGAAACTTTTTTT